AGTGGAGTAAAAGTAAAAGTTGGCTGAAATATAAAAACTCAAGTAAAGTACAGATACTCCCAAAATATACTTAAGTACTGTAACGAAGTATTATTACTTTGTTACATTACACCACTGTACATACACTGAACAAAATTATAAACGCAACACTTTTGTTTTTGCCCCCATTTTTCATGAGCTGACCTCAAAGATCTAAGACTTTTTCTATGTACACAAAAGGTCTATTTCTCTCAAATATTGTTCACAAATCTGTCTAAATCTGTATTAGTGAGCACTTCTCCTTTGCCGAGATAATCCATCCACCTCACAGGTGTGGCATATCAAGATGCTGATTAGACAGCATGATTATTGCACAGGTGTGCCTTAGGCTGGCCATAATAAAAGGCCTCTAAAATGTGCAGTTTTATCACACAGCACAATGCCACAGATGTCGCAAGTTTTGAGGGAGCGTGCAATTGGCATGCTGACTGCAGGAATGTCCACCAGAGCTGTTACACGTGAATTAAATGTTCATTTCTCTACCATAAGCCGTCTCCAAAGGTGAGGCGTGGAGCTGTGGCAACAGTAATCCTGCCTGTATGATGTGTCATCGAGGGACTACCACGACAGAACAAAGAAAGAAAAATGCTGGCGAACTATAGCGGAAGCGCTTCAGCAATGTTTACACTCTTGTTTTCGGAAGTCAGTCGCTAGTTCCGCCTTCTCGATGACATCACACGCGTTGGACTCGTTAAAGACGGCACGCGATGAATGGTCGGGAAGCAACGTGTAGTCTGACATGTTTCTTGTCCACGACACGACAAGATTTTAGGAGTCAAAATCATAAAATCTGACACAGTGACTATCTTGACCGACAAAAATATTGTGTAGTCTGAACCCGGCATAAGGCTCGCAGTGTGAACGTAGCCTTACTAGCTTACAAATAACTGGGTGCTACCGCACTGGCTAGCAAACATCATGCTTGCTCTAAAGTTGTACATTGAAAGTGAGCTTTTCCGTTATCTATTAATACTTTATTTCACAACTATAAGAACTTACCGGCAGACTCCATCACTGACTCCAGCAGAGAGATGGCCATATCGATGCCGCCTCCTCTTCCCAAACTCGCCGGTCTGTGTCCATAAACGGCATCCATCATATCGAACCACTTCCAATTCTTTTGGTTTATACCTTTTGGCTTTTGGTTTTTCACCTTCCGGTAGTCACTCCGCAGCTTCTTGCGTTTAATGTTGCACTGCTTGGATGTCCGCTGGAACCCCTCCGCATCCATCCTCTCAGAAACATGCTGGTAAACCTTTTCGTTTCTCACCATGCCATCAAATTCCCTTCACACACACGTTCTTCACCAATGATACCCAGAAAGGTCTGCACCTCCTGGGTCGACCATGGTTCATTGCTGCGTGCTGACATTACTGCATATTTATATAAAAAAAAAAAAAAAAGCCTGTAGCACGCGCAAGTGACGATTCTCTGTCAACCAATCAACATTCTGTTGTGGGTCTAGCTCCACCCCTTTGGTACCGGACTACTGTGCTAGGTACCCCTATAGAAGGGTTCCAAAAAAGTGGTAGAGTACAATTCTCTATTTTGGTACCACTCACAACTTCTGACAATGGAAACGCATAAAATTGCGTACTGTACTGTACCGTACTGCTCGGTGGAAATAAGCCATTGCACTGCATTGAAGGTATACAATTTGCCAGTTCATGCATTCCCCGTGAATCGAACCTATGACCTTGGTGTTGTTAGCACCAATCTCTACTCTAGGAAGAAGCATCACAGTCAATGTTATTTGTTTACAATTAACAAAGGTCACCAGAATCCACATTTCAGTAGTGGAAACTGACCCAAGTTTCAGGATTAATATATCACTTTCTCTGGGCAAGAGACCTGAAGAGCACACTGAGCTCTAGTTAATGAAAACAGTGAGACTTTCTAAATGCTCAAAAAGAATGAAAGAGGATTAAAAAGTCATATTAAAATTTAAAAGCCTTAAAGGCAAAATAAAAACGAAATAGAGTGTGAGATTAATTCTAATAAATAAAAAGTCCCAAGTTGCATGATCAAGCTTAGGTCAAGCAACGCTAAAGATGCAGAGGTGTGAGGGATGTGGGTACGTTAGGATCCGCAGGGCAGGATAGGGGAGGTATACAAAAAAACACACTGAAAGGTAGTGTGTTTTGGAGTGGGCTGTCTTGGCTAATAACCAGACCCGTGGAGGCTGTGAGCAGAGGCTTGTGTGCTCACAAGGACTTCTGGCAGGCCACAGCGGAGGGAAGGGGAAAAAACGATAACCTTTGGCCTTCCTGCTGTCGAGTATTAGCAACATGCAGCTCCCCTCAGCAGTTCACTGCACTTACTGGGTCATCAAAAGGCCTTCTCAAACTACAACTAAAGAGCAGCTTAGCACTTCCTATGTGCTAAAATGAGTGCTAAGGATATGTGGGACTGGGGGAGTGGGCACAACCTGCTAAATTTAGAAAGCTGGGTCGTTACAACCTGACTCCAAATGAACTGATTTGAATCTTGACTTCAACTCACTGAATTAATGATCTGTGACTTGTTGCATAATCTGCTTAGTGTGAAAAGTGACGTGACATGTGGCCAAGTATGGTGACCCATACTTGGAATTAGTGCTCTAGTTACCGGCAGACTCCAAAGTGCACACACACAGCAGTGAACACACACACACCGTGAACACCCGGGGAGCAGTTGGGGGTTTGGTGCCTTGCTCAAAGGCACCTCAGTCATGGTATTGAAGGTGGGAGAGAGTGCTGTACATTCACTCCCCCCACCTACAATCCCTGCCGGTACGAGACTCGAACTTTGGGTTACGAGTCCGACTCTCTAACCATTAGGCCACGACTTCACCGTGACTTTCCCTTAGTAAAGGGGAACTTAGACTTTCACCTTAAGTTCCATAGATTGGAACTTAAATTAGTTTAATTAATCAAGAGCCTAGATATAGATTTATCTATTTTTGGAGTTTACACGGGGGGAAAAATCTCTTTTATAACAGAAGTCACACACAATTCTATGACATGTAGTATTCCATTTAAGGCACTACTTATCCATTTCTATAATTTTGCCAAACAGTGATTGACTGTCGTACTAAAGTCTGACAGCAATTAAATTACATCAAGGCTATAATGTGATTGGCTATGACAGCACAAGCAATCCAAGTTGACCGTTATGCTTTCTCCAATGAGCCACACACAGGCTGGTATCTCCTCATCATAAGGCCGTCTCTGCCTTGGTCACAGCTATTAATAGACCACATTTTCTATTGGTAAATAACAATTTCAAAATTCAAATTCTGTTTTCCACAAAAAAAGCTATTGTTCGGCTTCAATAGTCTTGGAATATATGGTGCTTTAGCAATTTTTGCAGCATTCACTTTAATTAGTACTCTTAGTATGCTCTCAGTGTCAACATTCTGCTAAACTTTTCTTGTTGTGTTTCACAAAAGCTTAGAATAACATGAAGGCGAGTAAATTAGTACAATAGTCACAATTTTTTGTAAACTATTCTTAACTCACAACCAAATGGAGACCAATCAATGAATACCACACCTTTAAAGTTAGCAAAGAGCCTTAAGTTGTGTTCCAGGCTTACCATGTGATGTTTAATAGTCAGACATATAGCGGAATTGAGGCTAAACAAGCCAGGATTGTCCTACAGAGGAACAATAGCTTTGTCTAAACATCATGTCAGCTCTATTCTGATGAAATTTATCAAAGTGAAATCGGATAAGACACTATACAAAAACACACAGCTCCAGGAGATGGAGTCAGTATCATTCCCGAATGGTTCTCCCTTTCATCCTGAAGGTTATACTGACAGCTACCGCAGAGGCCACACACAGAAGAACAGACAACCGCTTCTGACAGCCTGTCAGGGGTACAATGCACAATAAAGGCAAACAAGTATTTATAAACAGAGAAAGGAAAACCAGACACTAATTTTTAATAGTACACTTGTTAGATCAAGCAGTACTGAATCAATGCACAAGACAATACAACTGCTGTATCCAGAAATCAGTTTAAATTCTTGAAACCTGAAATTATGATAACTAGCAAAACAGAAAACAACTGAAACCGAATGAATAAGATTTGTACGCCATCTTGAACTACAACTTTCTTGGAGTATTAAAGACATAATTTATGATGGTGATTTTAGAGGTACATTCTCTTTGTGGTTCCTCAAAACAACAAATTCCCATTATTTACATACATTAAGGCTCAATGACAGTGATGGCTGGCTGGCAGGCAATTAACAAAACTGTCACTTGCCCTAATAGGTCAATTCTGTGTTGTCAGTGACATTCGTTAATCAAATACATGTATTCTATCCCTTGTTTTTTTGGGCTGCGTGATGAAGTTAAACAGCTGGCTAGAAATTCTATTTAGTTCTAATATTTGTATGTAAATATTTTTTGTGGAACAAATATTTTTGTAGAATAAAATGTTGGAACTATACTGCACTACTAAAATCTGTGCTATTGGCACAACTAAGCAGAAAAAAATACACTACTAAACTATCCTATAACTATACTTAGAAACCACAAATAAGAATCTAAAATATTAATATTTGTGTTCTTCTGACATCGACTTTAATTGTTACGGTTGCTTGGTGCATTTATTCATGTTGTTTTACCAAGGCTCTGAGATCACAAACATAATATATATATTTTTAAATATTATATTTTGAATAAATAAAATATTAAAATATTTTTTTCCAAAAAGGACATTTGAAGTATCAGTTCTCAAAATATTAGCAGACGTCATTAAATTCGTTGTTTAAGATTTATGTTTTCTGACCTATTACTAGGGAAACAGAACAAGGGTTAAACAAAACTTAATCTGAAATGCAATAATCCACAAACAAGAACCATCCACAACCTCAAAATGTCAAAGCTTTACTCTACCTAGAGTCTAGCAAAATGCTATCATAAGAATGGGGGAAGGACCCTGCAATACAGCAGGGACACTCACAAATGCTTTCTTCTCCAGTTCTTTCCCTAACCCGTACCCCATCCTGTCCTGCTGCGTGGCGCACCATTCTCCTTTCACATGTACAAGAGGATTTCAGCCTCTTACATCATAGGGTTCAATGTTAAACTGAACTGGACTGTAATGTGATGAGGTAATGAGAGAAATATGGGTGGAAAGATCTCGTAAATTTTCCCTCTTTAAATCTGACATCAGGGAGGAATTTCCTTTTTAAACTATCTTAAAAATTTGACAATTCAAAAACAATTCAGGTAGACACTACATATCTAATAACCAGACAGGGGTTTTGATGCCAGGTCAGCACTGTCTAACATCTTGAGATTTATTTAAGAAATTAAAGAAATGTGGTTAGATAGTACACAACTGCCTGAAGAAAAATACCTCCTTGAAAAATAATAATAATAATTCAAAATTCTAGGAAAGAATGAAAATCAGGCAAATTCTACTGTTATAGAAATGCAACCTGAACTCCGGCAAAGGAGAGTTCACCACAGCCAGCCTTTGCAATCTGTGCAGACAAGAACAATGTGCTCTAATTTTATCAGAGCAAGACGGAGGCAGTGTGCACACACCACAGAAGCCAATATTAAATTATGTCTAGCTATAAAGTGGGGCTGACACCAAATAGAAAGCCACAATGTACACAGAGAATCTCATGAAATACAAGGAATTCCCTGTCTCTTTCTGCTTTTACAAGCTCTGTAGTCTGCACCCTTACAGTCCAGAGTGAGATAGCTCATCTGTATTTCTTGCCCTTTTTGCCACAAGCTGAACACTGGCGTCTCACGCCTCCATGATTGGACCACAATCCCCTGCAGTGCCATGAGGGATGGTGGTTTCCTAGACCCAGACGAAAGGGGGGAGCTGAATCTGGGTGTATTGGAGCAAAGGAGCTCCTTGTTTTGGTGTGATTTATAATTAAGGTTGAGCAGCACACACTCAAAGAGTAGATGGGTTATGAATTACAAGTGAATTGCCCTATTCATTTTATCACTGGCATCAGCCAAGTGTGACATGATTTTCAAGAGAGACAAATAGATTGAAGAATAAAATTATGGTTCTCAACTAAGTGCACAAGACAATAAGCAAAGCTACAAAAGAACACAATGACAACATGGACAAAAAGTACTAGAATAATAGGAGAGAAGGATGACGCATCCAAATTCCTTTAGTTCTCAGAGGGCAAAGATGGTTATTTAAAAAAAATTATATAATTTCTACATGAAAAAAGCTAATATTCTAACTGCTCTGAAGTATTTAGCAAATAATACTGAATGCAATTTTTTCACAAGGTGAAGCAAATGACCCTTAGTATGTGAATATATTATAAACAGCTAATGTCTGTTGAATCTAGGCTAGATCTAAGAAACTGACATAAAAAAAGCATTCTTAGAGTCAACAAAGCAGACTTTCCAGTCTCTTTATCTCTTTCCTGTAAAATATATGTCAGTACACTGAACTTATAGGCTGTCCTCTTTGTGTGTTTCGCTGGAAATCACATAACCAACAGAAATTAAATATCATGATGAATAGATCCCTTTCAGCATGAAAGAACTTGGCAACAGCCTGTTAATTGGAGGGTTTTAACTGTAATGTTTAATAGGATCAGAAGCATACATGTGATATTAGTTGTACCCAGATTATAATTCGTTGAATCTTCTATTATTCTGAGGGACAGGAAGAGTAATAGCAAATGTCAAGCCCTTCATTTTGTACCACCTCAAACATTAAAAAATGCAAAAACGTGCCATTGCGTTTTAGGGATATTTTTTCGATTTTGACAACATGGATATGTCTCCCCTAAGAACCAAATGAACATTAAATTAAAATAAAATATCAGATTCACTGCATATTTTATTATTATGGTATTGTGGTATGCTAATTAACATCCTAAAATAAATGAATATCCTAAAATAAACAAAAAAAGTAAATAAATAGAACTACTAAAAATTAAAGACTAAAACTTAAGAAAACTTATTTCAGTGTAATAAGGCTCTAAATACAGATTACACGACTAAATCTAAGACACTTTTATCCAAGTAATCATTTATTTGATGCTAGCAAAGTAACGAACAGTATATATTATAGGCTCAGTCTACCTTAAGTAAATTGGTTAAGCGTGTTTATGGTAAATTAACCTACAAGCTTTCAGGTAACAGCCCAGATTTTAAACCTCTACGCCACAGCACACAAATGTTTCCAACGGATTAGACTTGAATTGAATTCGCAGCCTGTTTTAGATATGATCAGAAGGTTGTTGTTGTTTTAACCTAGTGAGCTGCCTACCTAGACAACATTGGTTGCAACCATAGATGTTAAAGTGTCAGCAGCCGAGGTTTTGAGACAGAGACAATATCTCAACTTACCTTTTTGTACACAAGTCGAGCTTTGGCAGCTTTCAGTAAAAAAGTGTTGCATGTTGTACAGCGGTACAAAAAAAAGGTACCCGTAAAAACAGATAGACTCAAGTAACACTGTTGAATGAGCAGCTGAAATTCCGAAAGTGTCCCAAAAAGGCAGCAGAACGGAAATAAACACAAAATTCAAAATGCCAAGGGAAAAGGACTGTCGTGAAATTTCTATGCAGACTCAGGAGATTATAGATAAATACATGCTGGAAAAACAGCAGATGACATTTCCATGACATACGCTACGAAATACCCTCGAAAAGACAGAAAATAATACATTAAAACGGCGAGGCAGTTTGTCAAATACAGTGGCATAAATTGGTCATCAGAAATAGCATCTCGTCTACGGTGCAAAACGAAGAAGAGGGCAGTTTAAAGCTGCTACTGTCTGGTAGACTGACATGAGATTATGCGATGCAAGCTGCTTCATTAAAGTGCAAAAATAAAGATAGCGAGCGATGTGGTGAGCAGCCTGGCTGCAGTCGTGTGGAGAAATCCAGAGATGTTTTTAAAACTACGGTGGAAATATCCAGGAATAAGTGCGGAGTGTCCGGAGAAAGCGCTGAGAGTGTCACGTCAGGATCAAGCCTCTGCAGCCATTTTGTTCGGTATCAACAAAGCAGACGAGCAGCTCAACTATGGTGGGAGGGGCTTAGCCGCTGAAATCATTTCCATATGACGTTTAACCAAGCAAGCAAGCAGACTGATTTTACATCGGAGCACCGCCCATAAAAGGTTTCAAAGCGTCCAGTTGGAAATCACAAGGGCTGGAATGGGCGTTCAACTGAGACCCTTTGCATGCTCTGTACAGAAACAAACAAACAAACAATTTGAAACCCAGTGTTTTCATTTCACACTAGGGGCCCAGACAAGTCGACTTTAAAGTCCCCATGAAATCAAAATTTAAGTTTTTTTGGCTTTTAGTATGTTAGCCTTAAAAGTTCCCATGAAATCAAAATTAAAATTTTTGGGCTTTTAGTATTAATATAGCCTTATAGTTATCTATAAGCTAGTGTGCTCCAAAACGATGACAAAATTTGTATTTAGAAGATAAGCATTCAAAACCTACACAGATTCCGGCAATATGAATTAGCGGTTTGTTGAGGTCACCCCTCACTTCAGCTTCTCATCAAACTTTCTGTCCAATCAAATGCTCTCTAGAATTTGAAATGTCCCGCCCCTACACTATAAATAGACGCTGAAACGGCAGCTGAAATAGGTCTATGGGAAGCGAAACAACCCAAATGTGGGACGAAACGGCGCGGTATTCAAGTGTTCACGCCGCGCTGACCCTTGAGCCGCGCCTATGACAGGTCAGCACGGCGGGAACACTTTAATACTGCGCCGTTTCGTCCCACATTTGGGTTGTTTGGCTTCCCATAAAGGTCACTTGTTCACAGAGTTAGTCTTTCTGTATGCTGAATGGCACGTAGTGCGCACTATATGGGAAGTTCGGATCATTTTACCGACTCGGACCTTTGAGTCTCGTTCAGCAAAATGAAAGGATCTTTTTTCGAGTCATTTCGTTCATTTTAGAAAAATATAATTAAAAAGTTACGTGTTACTTCCCTAACACGTCTACTACTTACGCAAACGTTGATCACACTACAATAATACAAAACTATAATGCTATAAGAAACAGAAAAGATTAATTCATTGTTTACCTCCCTGTTGAAAAAAAACAGCATATGCTGGTTAGGTATGTTTTGACGCTGGGATGCTGGTTTAAGCTGGTTTATGCTGGTCCTTTGCTGGTTTAAACTTGTCCTTTGCTAGTTTATGCTGGTCATGTGCTGGCAAAAGGACCAGCATAAACCAGCAAAGGACCAGCCTAAACCAGCATCCCAGCGTCAAAACATACCTAACCAGCATATGCTGGTTTTTTCAACAGGGCTGGGTCTTCAGTCTATGATTGGCTCACCTCACCTCATTAGGTGCATTCGCACCATTTCACACATTTATAAACTTTAAGAAGTAAAAAGCTACAATTTGAGACCAGAAACGCATCATGTAACTGTAAGAGTAAATAATAATGATAATGATGATGATAATAATAATAATAATAACTATGCACCCGTTTGTAAGGAAGCTTGTAAATTAACTAATTTCTCTATCCAATGCTGTCACGTCACGTGACAAAAGAACGAACGATTCGAGATGAACTAATCAATTCTCCTTCCGGCTCAGACTGCATTGGTTAAAGCTTATGGGGCTGTCACATGATGAACAAATGACTCAATCCCGAAGACTCCAGAGATGAGCTAATCAGTTCTCTTTCCGGCTCAGACTGCATTGGTTAAAGCTTATGGGGCTGTCACATGATGAACAAATGACTCAATCCCGAAGACTCCAGAGATGAGCTAATCAGTTCTCTTTCCGGCTCAGACTGCATTGGTTAAAGCTTATGGGGCTGTCACATGATGAACAAATGACTCAATCCCGAAGACTCCAGAGATGAGCTAATCAGTTCTCTTTCCGGCTCAGACTGCATTGGTTAAAGCTTATGGGGCTGTCACATGATGAACAAATGACTCAATCCCGAAGACTCCAGAGATGAGCTAATCAGTTCTCTTTCCGGCTCAGACTGCATTGGTTCAGTTTATGGGGCTGTCACGTGATGAACGAACGACTCGAAAAACCCGAAGACTCGAAACAGGTGAATGAACGAAAATGAACGAATCGTTCAAGAACGACCCATCACTGCTACATGGGGAATAAGGAAGGATTCTGACAATTCTGACAAAGTCTTCCTGTTTCAGTTGAAATTACGTCACCACATAGCACAACGCTGCATGTTTCAAGGCACTTCAGTGGACCTTTAAGGTTATCTATCTATACAGCGTACTTGATAACGTCACTCAGCTCGCCTTGGCTACTCCGGTTATCCTTAGGGCTGTCCTTAAGGGGTTGCAACTGGAATGCACACAAAGTCGTTATTATGAGTGGGAAACTCAAATTATCTTAAAGGCCTGAGTTTCCGAGTTGGGGGTGTGTCAGTGAGAAAACATGTTGGATGCAATGGATGCAGCCAAAGTCTAGAGATATGCAGTGTCTGTATTGGCGGTAAATTTGTTGAAATGAAAAAAAATATATATATACATATAAATATATATATATATATATATATATATATATATATATATATATATATGTGTGTGTGTGTGTGTGTGTGTGTGTGTGAGACCGTTGACCACAAAACCACAAGTTTCACATGTTTCCAGGGTCACATATTATTGTATAATTACCAATATATAATGATTAAGTTCATAAATCTCCTTCATAAATTGAATAAAAACAGAAAAAAGCAAGCACACAATGATACACATTCTTTATTTATCATTTTGTAGATGTAGAGTTTAAAAAATCATTGAATTTTATGTAGAAAAGTTAAATCACCATCTTGTACCAACCAAAGTAACTTGAACACACCTGATGTCGTAATTACGTCTTGTCAACTCGTAAATACGAACTTCGCAGGAGGACTTGAATGCACCATAATTATATCTCATGTTTAACCACTACAGAGACATCGCCAGCGACAAATGTCAGAATGCCTAGCCAAGATAAGGCTGCTCTCTGCGGGAAACACTGACAAGCCTGTGGGCAGTATATAATGAGGTGAGAGCGATAATTGCCGCAGAATCTTCTTCTTCACACTGCCATCGTCGAAGACGGACCAGAAGATACTACAACTTTTTCACGGCATCCGATGGCCACCTTCTGTTGACTTTGCGCGGGCCCTATCGACCCACCGGACCCGCATGAGCACTGCATTGCCTGCCTGGGCCTGGCCCACGCTGAGGTTGCATTCTCTGAGTCCAACTGCGTGCACTGCGCTGATTTGCCGGCACAAATTTTGAGGACTTGAACTCACTCGTGGCCTTATGGGGATGAGGCCCACTGCTGCCAGCAAGCTGCTGGTGGGCCCTCCCCTCCTTTCTGTAGTCCTTTTTGCTGACGAAAACCTTCACCCCCCTCCTGCCGTCGCAGATATAATTTCCTTTGGCACCTGAAGAAAACAAAGACTCCATGTCTATCTCTGCGTCACAAAAGGACTGGACAGAGTCAGAGTGGGATCTTCCTGACACTGAGGGCCCCGCAGACCTCCAGGAGGAGCTCGTCAGGGTCCTCGCGAAAGCTGTTAAGGAGCTTGACATCAACTGGGATGCTCCAGAGGAAAATGCCAGGACAAAATGCTGTGAAAGACCTGTACACAGTGACAGACTTTGCGCTGATGGCGACAAAGAGCTCTGCTCAAGCCATTGGTCGAACCATGGGGTTCATGGTGGTCCTTCACAGGCACCTATGGCTGACCCTAGCTGACCTAAAGGACTCCGGGCGTCATTTCCTTTGGCCCTGAGGAAGACGAAGACTCCATGTCCATCTCGGCATCACAAAAGGACTGGGCAGAGTCAGAGCGGGATCGCCCTGACACTGAGGGCCCCCCAGACCTCCAGGAGAATTGTAGACTTACTGCCCACCTCACTTACAAGGCTTACACCTCCACTGGCGAAGCGGCATCTGCACTGCACGCGATGGCAGTTCTGCAGGTTTTTCAAGCTAAGCTCCTGCAGTCCCTGGACAGCTGCGACATGGATGCAATGCCGTGAAAGACCTGCACGCCGCAACAGACTTTGTGCTGATGGTGAGAAAGCGCTCTGCTCAAGCCATAGTTTGATTCATGGGGTTCATGGTGGTCCTTCACAGGCACCTATGGCTGACCATAGCTATGGCTGACTCCGACCTTAAGGCACTCCTTAACGCGCTGATCACTAAACAAACATAAATTTGATATTGTGGTAACTTTTTACAATTTTTTTTCAATCAGGCAACAGAAAAAAATGTATTACCCCAATGACAGTAATTGTTTTTTCAATTGTTGTGACGAGAATGTTTCTATTAGCAAAATAAGAGAATCAGCATTGCATGAACAAACAAATTTACATTGACTAAACAAAGTATCTTTACTAAGCAGAACTGAAAAACTATTGTTGAGAGAACTCAAATGTCTTACTGCATCAAGTTGCCTTATTATTTACATTTTCTTAACTATTTATTTTTTACAGTGTAAGTAACACTTAATGATATAAAATAATAAGCCAAAGCCTCTTTAAATGCAACACACACACACACACACAAAGTCTTGTTGCCACTGTTGTGGCTCAGCCTCTCTCATCAAACTAATTATGGAAAATCAGTCCACTGCTGGTTTTATGGTGTTTTGGGACTTGACTGGTAAATCTGATTTATTGCACACTTAAGCTTAATTGATTGCCTTCATGGATTTAAATGAATAATGAGGAGCTAATAAGCATTGTCTTTGTTTCAAGAACCTGGAAGTGAACAGGGAAAAGAGGATAATGACCAACGGGCAGAGAGAGAGAAAGAGTGAGTGAGAGAGAGAAAGAGAGAACTTATGAAGGTGTCATTATATCTGTTCTGCATGTTTGTTCTGTTGCCAGCTGCATGTAAGGTTTTTTTTTCATGCTAATAATTCTGTATGAATAAAACACCTGAAAATATTTACATTGGGGTCCTAAAGTCTCCACATCAAAAACAATATAACAATCATATATATATATGTATATATATATAGCTAATCAATATTCAATTTCAAATGAAGACATTGGCCATAACTACTTTGAATCGAAGAAATTTCGATTGTGTCACGAACTGCTACTGTGCTGGAGCGAGAGGCAACGAAAACACGGCGACGCAGGAGAATTCTCAATAACACAGTCTACACGGGGTACACAGGGCAGAGAGGAACACACGTAGAACGGCTGAACATTCATGGACCTGAAGACATTCAATACCAGACAGCGAAACACAGGCAAACTCAGGGCTTAAGTACTCAACTAAACAAGGGGGTGACGAGACACACCTGGACTCAATGAAACACAATAGGAACAGGAACAGGAAGGAAACCAAATATGGGCATGTAACACACAAGGGAAAACTAGGTCATGGGGAGCAAAACACAACACAGTCCATCTTCCTGACACCTTGTTCACAAGATGCTTTTTGGATCATCGGATTTTGCGCAAAAAAGCACAAAGGTGCATACCAAATTATAAGAAATTAAATTATTTTCAACAATATAATTAGTAATGGAAAACAGAAGCATTTAGGAGTGT